CACTCACTCACTCACACACACACACACACACACACACACACACTTCCACTAAATCAAATGTTCTTCTGATGTCTCTCAGCCTCGTTTCCCAAACTCTAACAGAACATCAGAAAAGCATCCTTGCGGATGTATTTAGACGTAATATTACGAGCTACTTCCATACAGTATGTAAGATATTTTAAAAAGTGCAATGCAAAGCCAGTTGTTGTATTTCTCTATGGTTAGGTTTATTTGTACATGATGATAGCGGTGTGCTGATTTTAGTGCTGTTTGGAGATTTCTAGTCTTTCTCTCTGTTAGAACAGATAGCTATATTCTGTTCAAGCATTTGTATGATTTTCTTCCTCTCTTGACTCTTGTTTATCGTGGTTTTTTCTTTATTTGCCGTGCCGCATACAACTGCCGAGTCTCATTTTATATACTGTACTTTTTAAAGAGATAATTTATAATGCGTACCAAAACTAGTATATGCTGACATATTGATACGAACGGCTGCTTTGGGTGTAATGTTTGAATAGCTATAAAGAAACGTCTAAATCCACATAAGCAGAAAATGCCATTTCAGCCAATATGATTTATATATATATATATATATATATATATTTAGCCAATTTAATTTTTTTTTATCTTTTAAGCAGTGCCATAAACCATGCACGTATATAAGATAGTTTCAGCTCGGTTCTTACAGTGCTGTTCTTATTCTAACTTATTTCTGTGTGATAATGTTATGGTTGAATGTGATATTTTAAATAGGCCTGGGTTATCTTAAATAGCTGTATCCTTTTTTCCTTTTTGTTTTTTGTATGATTTCTTATTATATTATTGTGTCATGGTGCCAACTATTGAACTCAGTCAAATGTAGAGTTTGAGTTACGATGGCATTGTGCAAAAACACTCAAATGAAGGACCAGGAGAAATGTCTTTACACCATATCTGTTTTAGTCCTGAGTAACAGTGTGTTTTTCCCAACAATCTACACTACAGTCTTTATTTCTGAATGGCCATCAGTGGGAATGATTTTGTGTCGCTTTGGCAGTGATTTGGTTTGAAGAACTGCTTGTTAACCCTGTTTTTCCCAGCAGCTCAGGTGATAGGATTCACTCTTTTCTTTAAGCAGATAGCGATTAGACCTCGTGGATGGCTAGACCTCCAAAAGCAATAAAACCATTAGAACTCAATGAATGAATGAATGAAGCAGTGCCTCTTTGTCATCAGTCACACCATGAGATTCACTAAACAAGCCTTTGACAGTTACACGCATTTGCCATCATTGGTGGTCCCTGGAAAAAAAAATAATAAAAATATATATATAGGGGCTATGCATATATATACACACACACACACACACATAGAAATATATAGTTATTTAGGGAACGTCTAACTATATTTATGATATTGTGTGTTCATTTGATCAAACTATTTATAAAAATCATTATATAACTGAATACATAATGATATCATTATCATTTGTTATGGCTGAATATTTGTCTAAAAGTGGAAATGCACATAACTGACTCTCACAAACAGAAATTTCGGGATTATGTCTTAATTTTGCATGCAAGTATATTTCTATACACGTTTCAACAGCATTTCTGTAACCACAAAAGTTAATTAGTCGCTCGCCGTTACCATAGCAACACATCGCGCGATATTCGTTACGATTAATACCGAAACCGTAGTCTACTGTCGTTACTGTTTACATATAAATCTGCATATTAAAAAAAAAAAGTTTTTTCGATGTGCTTATAATGTGTTAATTCTAATAGTGGAAAAGTTGGATCTAAAAACTGCTCGTTTGGCGTGAGAAATAAACATATAAACGAATCTATAAATGCTTGTTTAAAGAGCTCTTACTGATTATCTTCATCAGTCCGGGCTCTTAAAAATAAAACCTCCTCGTCTGTAAAAAGAGACTAAATGTTCCTCTTATTAGGCTGCATCGACATGTGTTGTCCCTCTTTAAACGAACGCGTGTAATCTCAAATTATTCCTAACAATTAATGGAGAGCGGGGCACAATGTAACACTTTGACTTTCTCAGTTTGTGTAAATCCACATGGGGTTCATAGTATAATTTTTTATCCACAGTAATTTTACACTTGTCTAGTACAAATATGTCGCCTTATTTCATAATTCACAGTGTATACATTTTTCTTTATTTATCCTCAAAAAATGGAAGTGAACTGTGACAACATGCCCCGTAGGTGGGGTACATTGTAACATCTGAGGGGCACGTTGTAACATGACCATATAACAGCTTAAAATATTATCTGATCGAATGAAAAAAACATACAAGACTAAAATATTTTGTCAATAAAATAAAATTATTAACTTTTTAAAAATAAAATAATGGCGTTTTTTAAGAATTAAAAATGATCTGATTTTGGAGTTAGCGAAGAATTAAAACTGATAAATAACAGATTGGAGATTAAAATAATAGCAGATTTGCCTCATTTTAAATGAATACTGAAAACCGAGATGAAAAATGTACTAAAGCCAGAAATGTACTGGGGTAAAATAAATGTTCGGGGGTATCTTCAAAAGATTTTTTAATTTTGGCGCAGTTTTAATTAATACCATAAATTGTGTTATGCTAGCATGTGTGGAAATATTCAAACCACGTGTGTTACAACTAACCCCGCGCTCCTCTATGTGAGATTTTGATATTAATCACATACTATATGATACTATATGATATTAATGCACGGATGCCTATAACATAATATGCATTTGCTAGCAAATTTCTCGCGGCCAAATAACTGCACATCTCAAAATATATGCGCTACAAAACAACCAATAAACATGAAATTTAAAAAAAACGACCAGGACATATTTAAAACATTGGCTTGTTAAATAATTTATTGATGATGCAAAGTTTCCTCACGGAAGCGGTAATATTCTCTTCATCGATATTTACGTCCATCTTTGTGTATTTTCCGTGTTGTGAGGTAAAACATAAACTCCAGCGGACAGAAGTACATTCATTAAAACAAATTCTATTCACATCATTTACAGCACTGGCACTTTATACTCGTGTGCAGCTGTTTCCGAAATAAAGAAGAGAAGCTTTCAGGCGGAAAAGGCGTTATTCGTCTTCGATCGAAGACTAAATGATCTTGATGATGATGATGATGATGATGATGATGTCTCCGTGATTCTTTAATAACATAATTTACTCAGTAAAAAATATATATACATCTCACGTCCACTTCTACCTGTACAACCGCATTCAAAGCAAAGAACTGAGTTTATACCCTGCTTAATTCTGCCTCGGTTCTCCAGAAGAATCTGAAGCAGATGATGATGATGATGATGAAGAGTCTTTTGCTCAGCATCATCACAAAGTGTCCGAGCTGTTGCTGCACGGGCTGATGAGGGACAGGTTGCTCGTCTTGTGCTTTTTTAACAGTCTCGTGATTTTCTCGTCGTCGGAGTTCGGGTCCAGAGGTTTGTTGTATTCATCATCATCATCATCATCCTCGTTTTCCGAGCTCTCCTTCATCCTCTCCGTCTCTGAGTCGTGTTTCTTTTTAGCCGTGGCCATCTCAGCCGCGTGCCTCTTGCGCCATTTGGTTCTTCTGTTCTGAAACCAAACCTGAGACGAGGAAAAAATCAGTCAGTGATCAATTATTATTATTTAAAAGATGCAATAGTTGCATGCAACTTCACTGAAATATTTAAACCAAGCAAAAGGTGCATGAACTCAATTGATTCAAATAATAAAAGAATGTTGACCAGACAGTGTGCAATGCAGTGCAACACTGCCAGTGATGTTTTCTTGGTTAACGACTATTCATTTAACTTTTAACATTATAAATTAATGCACCAGCAGTTTTGCTTTTTAATTTCACATTCAACCGACAGTGGCTCTCGCAGATAAAATCACCGTAACGTGGTCTCGCGCGGTTTGCATTGAGAGAGAGAGAAAAAAATAACGTTTTTATTAATAAAACCCGCCTCTGTTTACCTTGACTTGGCTTTCGGTCATTCCCAGAGAATAGGCGAGTCGAGCTCGCTCCGGTCCGGCCAGATATTTGGTCTGTTCGAAGGTTTTCTCCAGGGCGAAAATCTGCTGTCCGGAAAAAGTTGGTCTGGAGTGTTTCTTCTTCCCATCCTTGTCCAGCATCAGATGTGCCTGGGCTGGAGAAAACAAGACAAGGTCAGCCAGATAAACTCAGAACG